CCTGCTTTGAATTAGACACATGCGACAAAGCGGTAAGCTAAGCGCATGCTTGCGGTGGTGCCCACCAGCAACAAAAGTGCCAAATCCTTTATAAATTAAACACTAGGTTTAAAAGAGTTGTGTTAAAACGAATAAAACCGTGCAATGTTTTCAGGTGATTCACCTTGGACTGACTCGATGACCTATGAGGAAATGGCTGCAGATGTGAGGTATTTTTTAGATGAAGTAGTACCATCTGAAACAGATGGTCGTTATACTCGTGCTCATTTATTAGGCCATTCAATGGGTGGTAAAGCGGCAATGTTGGTAGCGCTTGCGAAGGGGGCTGAACAACGACTCGAGTCACTTATTGTCGAAGATATAGCACCAATACCATACGACACGGAATCGCATCATCAATTTCCGAAATTTATGGAAGCGATGAAAAAAGTTAATATGAAAGGTAGTCGTGGTGAGATCAGTTTAGAGCTAGCAGACGTTGTAACCGATGTGCCAACACGACAGTTTTTATTAACAAATCTGGATCGAAGTGAGGAGGGCTATAGATGGAAGTGTAATTTAAGTGCATTAAGTTCTAACATGCACTATATTTCCTCTTTCAATATGCCCAAAGGAAATCCCACTTTTCAACGTAGATGTTTGTTCATTTCAGGCGCGTTCTCTAGGTATGTCACACCTGAATCCCATCCCCTCATCCTGCAAAAATTCCCTAAGGCCGAATTTTCTGTTATCGAAGATGCCGGTCATTGGGTACATGCTGATAAGCCGTACCCTTTTATGGAAAAAGTTGTTAGCTTCATTGAATCAGTCTAATTGATCTCATTGTTGATAACTAAACTGTAATATATAATTAGTTACATACATAATATTAGCAATACTACGTTAAAAATAATGAGTGAAATTATCAGCAAAATAGACGAGGCAGTCCCTGTTCAGTTTTGTTTTCAAATAGGTCAACAAAAGTTAATAGCATTTCTTCTAAATGTGATCTTTTAATATCTTATTGTTGTTTAGTCAATCTACTCTTCTGTTTCGGGCATCTCCCATATCACTGTCTTTCTTCATTTTTTATTGATTTTTGATGGTGATAATTTGAAAAATATTCCATTGAATCGTGCATCTTTTGTACTGACGTTTCACCTTTTGTACCTTTCGTAAGATGTATTCATTTATGATCAATATGAGCAAATTCCGTTGTGATCGCTCTTAGAGCATTTCGATAGCTACGTTAATGATGTGTGATATAATCACTCGAACATTTTATAAATCATCAGTACAAAATTATGGCGTTTGATCAATCAGTTGCAAACTTTATGAATATTTGCGATGTTACGAAAGGTACAAAACTACACTGAATGAAGGTTGGATGATTGAAACATTAATATTGTGTGAGCTTTGATTGAATCAGTAAAGAGAAGCGGATTATAAATTGATTAGATGGAATTGACTGGATGTACTTGCAAATCAGTGCAATAACATTAGTATCACTTGTGACTGTAACGGATATGAAGTAATGTTAATCGGCATAAAATAACACGAATGAAACTGGCGTTCCACCTAATAAAAAACGAACCGTATGTTGTGCGTCCTTGTTACATAAAAACAGTTTGATCGCAAGATGATGGACAATATGATGTTGACAAAGTTAATATGAAATGATTTACTGACAGTCTACCGAATGCTTCTTCGAGTTATACGTTCTTCACGAAAAACCGTCTTGTTAAAAAAAACGTCAGGTTTCGACTTTTATTTAGGCTTTCTTCGAATATCCGTGAATGAAAAAGTTATTATTTTTCAAAACTATTGCTTTTTTTTGCTTGACTCGTTGCATTTTTCTCAAAGATCTTTCGAGTTTGGTTCAAACAAGTCAGCAATATTCAATACCTCAAGCTGGGACAGCAACAGAATTTATGATAAATTGTTGTAAACATCCGTTGCTATTCTTGCTTATCCTACCTAACTTTCGATGGTTACAATCTCTGTAATATGGATTCACAAAATGCTCTAACTTGGAAGTGTTTGTTTTAAATGATGTTTTGAAGTGGTCATGGAGAAGTTGTCATAAAGATGAGAATTTAACGATAGTTCCCGTAACCATTTTCTAAAGATCACCTGCTCTGCGGGGTGAATGATTCCTGAGCCTCCACGGAGGACCTCACTCTTTGTTCATATCTTGAGGAATATAATTTGTCAATATTTTTTGGAGTATTTTTGCGTGCATGGATGGCATCAAGCCACAAATTACGGCAACAACGCATTCAGATTTTTCGTCGACGGAGGACAAAAATTCATCGGAAGAGGGCAAAAATTTTGAGTGTTGCGTCGTCGCGACCTAACAACAACGTTTCGGAAAGTCAATGAATTCATTAATATGTCATCAATAATGAATTACAAAAACAAACCGAAACGAGCACAACAATCGTGCAGTCAATAAACTCACAATTGACTTTTCATTACAACATTTCTTCTGCTCGTTCTTCATCACTACCAATACAGTTCATATGAAGACATAACCAGTGATGTCCAAATTTCAAAAAAAAATTGACTCAGCTATGGCTTTGCAGTTCTGAAACTTCAACTCCAGCTCCTGCTCAGCCTCTTCAGAAAATTCGTCCCGAGCTCCAGCTCCAACTCAGGAATTCTNGGAATTCTATAATTTCAGCTCCAGCTCCGGTTCCGCATACTCCAAATTTTTGGCTGCACTTCCGAAAATTCCTTCGCTTCGTTCCGGCTCCGAAAGGAATTTATCATGCAGGCTTTAGCTCTGGCTGCAGAATGTTGCTGCGACATTTTGTTTGATAAGGCCAGATTCTGGACATTACACGGGAAATCCGTAGATACGAGCGATTCTATGGGAACGGGAGCCTACACTGGGAGTTTCCTCCACGGTTTGTCATGATGACTCATACCTCTGTGGGTGTTTTTTAGGTGGAAAGGAGAGGGGAGGACTTGCTGCAAATTCCAAACACTACTGTAGACACGTATTTACGAGATGTGTTTGTCACAAAGCAAAGACTTCAATGTTTCAATTTGCTCCTGTCGATGAAATTTAACACGAAAACTTTCAGTACCTTTTGTCAATGGGATTTTCATGCATACTTCAACCGGTTTGGCTGTTACAGAGATATCTTTTTTGTACTTTAACTTCAAAAGTGAGAACATATGAATGTAAAATATGATTGAAAAATGAAGTAAAGGAAATCTCATAATTCAACTTTAATTCACTTCTTAACTCATTGCCGAACAACAGTTCTCAAGGTTGTATACGTATGAACGCCTCGCTGAGTAATTCTGGCTATTGATGAAAATTTTGTGGACGTACGGATTATTGCATTTATGGAAGACGAAGAACAATGATGAGTATTGGAAAAAATTGGGTTTCGACCGACGAAATAAAGTCGATTTCAAATGGGAAAATATGATGTTGTTTGCAGATACAGATGGTCGTTCGTATGTGGTCAGCATGCTTATCACCATGATGTGATAAGAGGAATGTTTCGTTAGGTGTTTGGAGCGTATACGCTGTGTATTGTAATACATCGATATGATTTTGGTGAGCGTGTCTCATCACTGAAGTACATTATTCTTGAACGCCTACTTCAGAATCGAATAACAACTTATAATCGAAATCACGAATTGTTGTTCTTGTTGCTATGTGTCGAATCATGAATTTGAATTGCCAATGAATTCAGAGAATATTCCCTAGCACAGTTGAGGAATTGGATTATGATTATAAAATTACGACCATCATTAATTTTCAAGAAATGTAATTTTTGGGAATGTGATATAATGAATACTGTTCACAACAGTAAAACAGGAGAAATTACAGTGTAACAACGAATGCACTTGTTAAATGCAGTTGTGATGAAATTTGAGCATCAAATTCAATTAAACACTGAAGTTAAGAAGTTTGGTAGGCAGCAGTGAGATAGCATCTTGTTCATAACAGGAGAAAATATTTATTGTATTGTAATTATTCTGATTGAATTACACGAAAAACATTGAAAATATTGTGAGATGTAAGATAAAACCGTGGTTTTCAATCTTTTTTTTTCACCCGCACCCCCTAAAAATTTTAAAATGACCTCACACCCCTCACAACAATAGTTTGTTTGGGAATAACAGTAAACGAGACCAATAGAATTTTTCATAACTAATTTTTAATAACATAAAAATGATGATTTGGGAAAGAAAAATAAAACAAAAAACATATAATTGCATGAACTCAGAATAACTTTTCACAGATGCGTGAAATTTCGTATGTTTAAGGTCGATGACTCTCCCTGTTTTTTACTATGGCAGAGTTTTTCAACGCGTGGCAGTGTTGCTGACAGCAACCTACATGTTTGTCTGTGCACCAAGCGAGTTTGTGTTGAATGACAATAGGCACTGAATCCTGCTGAGTATGTCCTCACGAATGGGATGAGCACATTTAGTGCTTCCTTCTTAAAAAGTTGTTGCAAATGACCATTAGCGAGCACCCCCCGGAATACTATGTTGCATGCACGGTTGCTAAATATGAGTGATGCTCACGTAGTTGCAGTAGTAATACTGCGTGGACAACCGAAAGGTGCACTATTGGGTTTCAAGAGGAAAGTACTCAATCTCTGGACGTATCGATCACTGAGAGGATGCTGCAACCGACTGAATCATTAAGGAGACCGCTAATTCTTGGTTGTGTTCAGTTTGCAATCAGCTCTTTAGCGCAACTCGCACGATACTTATCTGATAAGCGTATAAAGCTGCAATGGAAGTGAAGTGATAATTATAATCACATGGATAGCGTGGTTTCGCGAGCGTAACTCGTGGATGTGGGTTTGGTTCACCGAAAAAAGTTTTAGCCAAATTCGAATGGTGCATTCATGCTATTAACACCACTGATCCTGAGCCAGGTTATTGTTTAGCTTCTATTAAATTATAACTATTCATATACTCATTCGATTATTCTCTTGAACATCATACAAAGCAACCCATTCTTACGAATCATTCTTTTAGACGGTGTTAATGATGTCATCTTCCAAGTATTCACCCCTTCCTCTTTTCCTGAATTTAGCCTTCTCTTGTGCTCTGTTCAGAAGATTTTCTTTTCACAGTCTTTGTAATGTTCAAGTAGGAATCATAATACCAGTCTGTAGTTGTAAAGAAATTGCGATGATTTCTTCAATAAATTACGCAATAACTCAACCAATATTCACATGATTTCGATAATGCTGTTCACGTGAACGAATTAGTGTTTAGTTTGATGAAAATAGTGTTACGATGATTTAGGGAAGTAGTTGTTCGATGAACTCCAAACAGGATATTGAAACGTTGAAATGAACGGACTATTTCTTGATGATAATCACGTCATATCACGGGTTAACCACAACACAACAAAATGCGAGATGACCTGGTGTTTGAAGGATGAATAATGCCATCAAACCAAATGAATAAACTTCAGCAACAAGTTCGTAATCGATGAGACATTATATTTCATGTTGCTCTAGGCAAACAGATGAGAAGGACGATAGAAGTGAATGAAACGAAATGGGATGGGATGACAAGACGAGATAAGATATTCGTTCTGAGAAGAGAGAAAAACTGATTTGATATGATAGTTTTGTAGATTGATGGGTTGATCATATGTCGAACAAATTGCACTTTTTTGTGGTGGGTTATGTTATCTCTTCGAAGTCCGCATTCGGCAGAAGTCTCTAATTAGTTATCATTGTTCTGTTCTCTTACCTACCATTCATTTGTTATTCTATCACGTCCAGGACCTTGCTTTGTCGTGCAATCATCAGTAATATTCGGTGACACTGTTGAAAACATTTCTCGATTTCTTGGTCAACTACTCATTAATAACGATACAAGCTTTCGTCATTTATAAGATGCGCGTGGCGGTAATAAGTGAATCAAATAGTAATGTAGTGTTGTTGCACAGGTAATATTTTGTCAACAGCACTACATTACTGAATGATTGTAGTATTTAATTATCGCCGTTTCTTATTGTTAGAATCATTATTATAACCGTTAACACTGACAGGAATGGTAAAAAATAAGGGTTGGATTAAAACAGGAAATTAGATCAGTTGAATACACGGTATGTTTCTGTGCGCATGGCATAAACAGCCCGATAATATTATACAATATTGCAGAGTGGTTCGATACTTATTTTACTTTTGTTGTTCCGTTGTTATGTACTCAATGAATTTATAAAATGCTCTACAATTGCTTATGAATCGTTTCTGATATGAGTCGAGTTTTGACGTACCTTTTAATTCCATCATTTCTCTGTTAAAATATCATCTAATGTGGTATAGTCAGAATTTTTTCCAGGGAGAAGGAAGGGAGAGGGGAGGGCGCGAAATGATCTGGTCTAGTGTTCGGAATCTGCACCAATACCCTCCCGTGGCGGTTTCCGTTCTCAGAAAATCGCCCCCACTCGCGAGGCCTTGTCGACGGCTCCTCCCCATAGTCCTGTAAGACGCGTGCAAGTAAAGTGGCAGTAATTTATTATACCTCACAATTTATTTATTAATCATAGCAAACGTTGTATGTAAGTGTCATAAGCAATGATGCCCAAGTTCTGGAGCGAAAAAATTCCTTGGCTTTATTCAAAAAAAAGTTACAGCAGCATTCAATAGCCGGAGCTATTTTTTCTGCGAAGATGAAAGTGCAGTGAAGCAAAGCTGATTTCGAAGCTAGAGCCAGAACGGAAACTTTAGAATTTCTCAGTTGAAGTTGGAGATGAATTTCTTAAAAAAGTGGAGCTGGAACAGAAATAATAGAATTGTGGAGCCGGAAATGAGCCATTTTCGTCAAAGTTGAGCTTCACTTATTATAAGTCTTCATTGAAATGAAAGAAGAGGCAAATAAATATTATATCAATAGCAATTAAAATATTCGATCCGTCCTAAGTTTGCAAACCAAGCAGTAAGCAATGGTCTGCGTGTCTAATTCATATTTCACCACCCATCAATTGATTACTACTTCATGTCGAAAGTCGCAGATTTTTCTGGTAAATTTTCATCCTCCTCCGACGAAAAAAATCTAAATCTTGGTGACCACTGACTTTTCCCCGAATTTTGAGGACCAATACAATTTGGTGGCCCCGATCCAACTGAAGTAACGAGCCATTGCGAGAGCTTCAAAATCTCTCATGAATGCGGGTTATTTCATGTAGTGAACCCCTCTCCCTATGCGGGTGCATCCGCCGGAACAGAAAATCCGCGGGAAGATGACTGGGCAGAAATTGTCACCTCCTCCCCCCTCCCCTCACAGGATCACCTATGTTGGCCCCATTCCGAACATTATTATGGTCCCAAAAAACGGTCCACGCAACGGTAATCAAAACGCATCGCGCTGGAGTTAGCCTGGGCCGATCTGTATAATCCGTTTTCTCTTACCTTTGACTGAGGCATGTTGTATGTTAGACGCAAACTACGGCTCAGGCTCAGTGTTTAGACTCGCCGCGGTTTCAAAGTGAAACGAGGCATACAAATGAACATGGTGAATTATATGCAGTCAGGTAACTGGCTGCAGATAATGAAATCAAACACTTTCCCCTGGGCTACGTCTGGAATTGTAATATGAGTTATGATTATAATCTCCCTTCTTTTCCTTTGTTTTTTTTCTCTTTTCTATCACCCTCTAGGCCCAAGAGGGGAGCAAGGGAGGGTCTGGTCTCACTTCCCCCACCTCTTCATGGCTACGTCACTGCTCGTTATATAGGTGAAGGCGTTTTAAATATTTAATACCAATAAGACTGACTTCTCGGTTAATGTTTCAGATATGAAACCACCAATGAAGAAGATAAATTTCGGCGCTGGTCCAGCGAAAATTGTTGAGGAGGTAAGCTTGCGATTTTTGCTAGTTTAGCGAAAAAATTGTTTGTGCGTGAAGTGAGTTGCAAGAACTTGGTAAATAGATGAGTGTGTATTGACATGATAAAAGTAAAGGAAATGAAAATGGAGTGAAATTGAAGTGAACTTTAAATGTTAGAAGTGAGGTAAAGTGAAGTATATTGTAAATGTTACAGTGAAAATTATTTTTAAAACTTGTGAAAGATTCTATTTTTGATTGATATCATTTTTGTTAATAAAATTTTTTCATACTACTGATCATTGTTGATTCTAAACAAAGTAACCGAGAAATTTGCTTGTGCCCTTCTCAATATTCCCGTGAGAAAATATCTGAGAAATTCTGAATGCATTAAACAGAAAGCTTTAAGTTAAGTTATACTATACTTCGGTAAATCGAAATAATGGTAAAGTAAAGATAGGGCAAATTTAAAGGAACTTTTTGGATGAAACACAAGGCTGAAGCAAGCTCTAAGTAAGGAGACTCAGGTGAAGCAAATAATTTTCAAATTTTGGATAAAGTGACAATAGTGATGTGAACGATATTGTTCAATAAGGGTCTGCATTTTGAAATAATTTCGAAACGAGGCGCAATGGCCAATTTTTGTCGTGAATTATCGGAACGTAACGAAACAGTAGACCTTTTTTGCTATAAGGGACAGCAAAATTTAGGAATTGACGATATTTTTTATCGAAATACTGCGTTTGGAGAAATTTCCTGATATTCCGAGAGATTTCAAGGAATTCCGAAAAATTTCGAGGCATTCCAAGAAGCACTTCGAGGGAAGTATCATTATCTCGATATGGGAATTTTTCATAGTCATTCTAGTGTCGTTATTAATCGTCTCTTCTCGATAATTCTAGTTAAAACGAAAAATTCGATTTGAGATGCACACCTTATTGTTGAATGAATCAAAATAAATGAACAGAGCGGGAACATTTTCTGTCGCGTTGAAAATATCATAAACGGCTAAAATAGGATTTTACTAATGGATGTGGTATCGAAAAAAAAGTTGCTTTCAAAATATCCAAAATTGAGGTTAACTTTGTTTAATTTCGAAGCCGTTATGATATTCATTATCATTTGGATGCATCTTCTCGTGTGATCACTGTATATCTATAGTTTATTTACTTCTGTTATTTATTACAACCTAGGACTTCTTGGTAGCTGTTTCAAAGTATTGTATGCTTCACGGACTATCTGTTTCAGGTTATGGAGCGAGCTCATCAGGAATTTCTGGAACATCCCGGTTCAGGAATCAGCATTCTTGGTTAATATATTTTCATTAAATTAGAAGTACTGGATTAATGGCTTAATGGTCGCTTTTCATAAAGATGATACGATTACAGTTGCAAATTATGGAAACTATTTGTAATGAGCTGAAGTGAAAGAGAAGGAAAAATTTTATGTTTTCGGAAGTCATCGTTTCGTAGTAACCTGAAGAGTTCAATTCTAACAATAAACAACAGTTCTAAAAGTTGCATTTTATGAAATGTTTTAAAGTAGACTTTTATTATAAGTTTGAAATGCTTGTAGAGATGAGTCATCGTTCAAAAGAATTTGCGAATGTGATTAAGAGCACCGAAACGTTGCTGAGGGAGCAAATGTAAGGTTTTATCGTATTTCAATAATCTGTCCATTTATGTGATAATAAAACTGCGAGTCGTATGTTTGTCCGCTGGGCGACCCTTACCCACTGTAATAAGTGTCTGCAGCGTTGTCTCCTATTAGAGTGTGCTCTACCTTTTCATTCACACACCAGTCAACGATTATTTGTAGAACAAACAATTGTCGGCACTATCTTATGTGAGCTTAAGGTATCTTATTATCGCTCGTTATCAGGTCAGAGGTAAAGCAAAAACGAATCGCTATCACTACAAATTGACATAATTTGCTTTTTCTATCATATCATCAGCATCGCTTTATAATGATTACTCGATGTTCTCTCGGTGAATGGAAGTTCACTCATCTTTAAATCAACATTGACGGAATGAATTGGTAGAATCACATTTATAGGGGTCCTTTTTACTTCTGTTGATTATTGTTGCATCTGTTCATGAGTACGACCTAGAGTCGAGCATCCAGTTGGAAGATGGTCAACCAGGCAAAGTGTGTGATGATGCATGATACAAGATTTTAGTGCAGATAACGAAAACTAGCATATTTGACAATAGTACCACGAGCCTCAACCTCGAATCAAATAACGATATGAATATGTGATAATACTCAAATCAGTATAGGTCAATACCAAATGAATTCGAAGTGTTATTCTTGCAAGGCGGTGCAACTGGGCAATTTTCTGCGATACCACTGAATCTGAAGCGTGATAAAGAATGTGCTGATTATGCTATCACCGGAAGTTGGTCTTCGAAATCGGCAATTGAAGCAGCTAAATACATTGACGTGAATCAAGTAGGATTAATTTTTAACAATGTTCCTTTAATGATCCCCACATTTTAACTCTCAACACTGTAGAAGTTTTATTTTAGCACTTTCATCATTTTGAAATCATGAAAGGAGTAAAGTCATGTTTATTTGATGTTTAAAAGGTAATGAGGAGTATTATATTTTTTTTAATCAGCATGAATAGCCTCATCAAAACTGATTCAGATTGCACTTTATTATTCGTTTAAGCATTATAAACGGTCGAAGTGAAACTAAGGTGAGGAACGAGAAGGCATTTAGGCGGGGGATTTCACCATTTACGAGCCGTTAACGGAAGGGCGAGAATACTCTGAAAATATCTCTCCCCGGTTTTGAGGGGTAAGAAGGTGCACACTCGTTTTTGTGACTGTGTTCGTTTTGAACATCACCTGACACAAACGACTTCTTCACCTTTATTCTACATCGTCATAGTTATGCGAACAGTTTCGCTAATTAATGTTAGCACAAGNCATCCGACTTCTCCGTTCCTCGTTATCCTTTAGCTAATAAAGAAAACTGAAAATCAGTGAATCCTAAGGGCTATTTTGGTATCTGGTACGCCCAGGATTGTGTGTTTATTCAACCGTGCCCTTATTTATCCTATGCCGAATACTGTATCGAAGCATCCTTACTACTCTCATTTTGATGATCGGAAGTTCATGAAGGATCCTCAGTAGATGTGGATGAAGAACATGAAAAAAGAGGAGGGGTTGAATCGGTGAGGATCCTGAAAAAGGGGTTCGGCTCCGGATTTCGAGGGGGGTATTGGAGAATTAGCTCTATTTGAAACGAATATTGTGTAAATGAATGAATGAAAGGCTTATCGTCATAACTGATGAATGAATAAGTAATCTGATTAAATGTAATCTCAAATCGTCTAGGTTTTCACCCCGCCGAAGCCATTCGTAACAATACCAGATGAAGATGTTTGGAAAAGGAATGCGAACGCTGCGTATTTGTATTATTGTGCAAATGAAACCATTCACGGTGTCGAGTTTAAGAAAGCACCACAATCTCTCGAAGGAGTACCACTCGTTGCAGATGTCTCATCCAACATTCTTAGTCGTCCATTTTCATTCCAAAATGTACTTTCCATTTCTATTATTAATTCAGCAGTGACAAATGAATTTTCATTTTATATTCCTATGAATCTGATTTTAAATGTAAACCATTCAGCTATAGCGCAGAACATACTGTATCAGGCTAGCAGTACTTTCAAAATCAAACACTAGAAATGTCACTAGAAATGAATTGTCATGTGTCATAGAATTACCTAAAAAATAAGGTCAGTGTTGGACTGAAAAAGACACGTATTAACTTTAATATGTCATTCTTTACTTACAAATGACTCAAGGTAATTTAGCAATTTTATGACTTGTTGAACTCGAATAAATTCAACATTCGCTTCAAAAGAAACGAAAGAAGATACTGTTTGCGGATTGGTTATTGGTAATTAATGATTTTAGCATGGTCTTGTTTTTGGAGGAACGCAAAAGAATTTAGGAGCTGCTGGGTTAACATTGACGATTGTGCGACGTGATTTAATCGGTTATCAACATCCAATGACTCCAGGCATATTCAGCTATGCTGAAATGGCTAAACACTCCTCACTCTATAATACACCCAATAGTTACGGGTTCGTCCTTCGTTCGTTCGTAATACGATTTTACGATGCCCTTATTTATCCTATGCCGAATACTGATTATATATTCTATTTGCATAATTTCTTTTCCATTTGAATTTGCAGTTTTCATAACTTATTTAGTTATGCAATACAAGACAATTTACGAAGTTCCTTTGAATTTCATCCATTATTGTTGACTTCCAGAAACAATTTACTGTTATTTTGAAGGATATATCTCACAAAATTAATACTTGAATGGATTCGTGATATTGGTGGGATTGACGAAGTGTACAGGCGAAACCAGGTGAATCGTTACTATTGCACGGTTTCAATTCCAGTCAAGCTTATTAGCTCGGTATAAAGATATCGAAGCTCAATAATGCATAAGATCACATAAGCCTTGGTCAGAGCCCTTAATGTGATTTTGAGCCTGCGCCTAAGTGTAATCGTAATCGTAAGCCCAACTTTAGCCCCGATTTCAAGCCCCGTGAAAATTCAAATCGAACAAGTGTGTACTCCATTATGGTGTATATCAGGATGACGATAATTTATATGGAGTTAAAAATAAGGTGTTGGAGATGTATACCTTTTGGCCTAAGAACAGATTATGTGTAATTGTGCACAAAAGAATTGGTTTGAAAGGTTTTTGCGTCAAAACAATTTTTGCACAGTGCGCAAATTTGAAAGTTGTTTGGTTCCACCGCCGCTGAGTTAAATTGTTCTTTGGTTCATGGATCATTGTGCAGGTACTCTAAAATTCGAAAGTTTCTTGGTTTAACTTTCGAAACTTGTGCTTATTTTGATGAAAAACAACATTTGTGAAAGCTCATTGAAAAGAATTGGGCTAAGAGACAGCGCCATCCACATTGCACGTTCCGGTGCTTCAGGCGAAAAACAAGGAGATGACGCGGTCTTCCAACCTATTTTTTGACGACGAATCTTCTGCTAGCTTGCTTACAGTCAAAATGGCAATGTCTTGAAGGTAAAACGAAGAAACTGTCGAAGTGCATGCACTACATTACATGAGCAACAAAACCGTTTAACCCAGCAACCTTCAGAACCAATCTTTTGAAGTGAAATTTCGCACAGATCGTTTCTAGATCAAAAGGTATCCTTCCGGGAGATGGAATTCGCAAATTCAGAGATTCCAGATTAACT